AAAAATAGGCAAGTTTCAATGTTTCTACCCCTCATTGTTCGATTGCCTGAGAGGTTTCTGCAGGCGGATAAGCTATGGCTCTAGAAAGCTTTTGAAGGCTGAAAGTCCCCCAAAGGTCAAAGCACTTATACTGGGCAGCGCCCACGAATGTATCCGGTTCCTGAGCGCTGTTCCACTACAAGTACTTTGACCCTTCTATCTTATGACGCTGTATAATACCACTCCTTCGTAGCCGAGGGAGCTGGCACCTGCGTTGTCTTTCACAAGGATGTAGCTTTTCACGCCAGTGTCCCACTGGTGTCAGCGCTTGGGAGATAGATTTATTAGAAGATGTTCAGTTTGGTCGGCTACCAGAAATGCAGTCTGCACTACACTCTGAAGGCACAGCTTGAAGTTAACACCAGTGAGTTGGCAACATCTCTGGGCTACAGCCACATGACGACTTTCATGCTTCTCCGCAATCTCAGTTATCGGGGAATCTTTCCGTTACGGGCACCATTTGAAATGCGCTCGTTTGATAAGGCGGATGGAGCGGTTTCTCCGCAAACAGCGAGGGACTCTTTGGCTGACACTGCGGTTGATAACGAGGGTTGGGCTCCTTGACTGAGCCATCCACGTAACCTCCGCGAGTCTCTCAAGAAGGGGAGCCGCCTGCGTAGCTAAAACAAGATTTATAGGGAAAAAGGTTTCTGATGGTTTACAGCTGGGACTTCAAAGCGATGCCGCTGGATACTAGCAGTAATTCCTATGTGGGCCAACGGTCGCGAGCCTTGTTGCAACACATACAAACACTACTTAGCCATATGTTTCCTTTCCACCCGATACCAACTTACAGCGCCCTGAATTTTTAATTTGGGACAACGTTCATCTTCATTTCATTTCCTGGGTCAAGGTATACTTTTCGTCGATGGATACCGATCGTGAGATAGATCGCTTACATCGATAGGCGCTCTACTTTCAGAAAGTCGGTAAGTACGTACAATTAAACTCGTATTTCGACTGTATAATAGACAGCGTCCCCAACACTATTCTGTGAACGCTTTACGAATAAATTTCCGCGTATTATTCGTCCGCAAATCTATCGGGTCAGTCATCGCTAGTCTACGCACTGTGCGCGCACGAGGATTAAAAACCTTCGCGAGGGAGTGCGATGACGGACGGCGAAAGTTTTTTATGTGCATACGTGAAGGACGCGGCCAGCCATCTATTGTATACCGTGAAAACGTTAGGGACCAAGAAGGCCTATACTCTCACATCTGGTGGGAACGAAAGTCTTCGCCTGCTTCTCTAGGGCTGTGTTAGGGCATCCGAGTGGCCCCCATTAGGCTGGCAACATTTCCAGACAGCCATATAATTACTTCCAAGCTTTTCCGTCTGTTATAGGGGAATTTTTCCGCTGTGGGCATCATTTGAAATGCGCTGATATGATAAGGCACATGGAGCCGTTGTTATTGTCGACTGCCACAGGCTTCAAGATATCTGTCAACCGTGAACTCTTCTTCCTCCTTCCTCTTTTCTTTCTCCTTCCCTTCTTTTCCTTCCCTTCAAATGCTCGGCCAGAAGGTGCGAGGAGGAAATATCCGACTCAGGGCACTTGTCAACCGGGAAGCCTCTCCTCTCTTTCATTTTTTCTTCCTCCTTCCTTCTTTTCCTTCCTTCCTTCTCTGATCCCTCCTCCTTTACCTTCTCCCTCCAACTACTGGACTGGTAGATGCCTCGTGAAAATAACCCTGGACCCTCGCGGCGAGAGCACGTCTAGTTGACAACAGGGCCGTAACCGGAAATATCTGGACCCTCACAGGAAAAGGATCCGGTTGAAGGAAGCCTTGTAACCGTGCAGAATCCCTTCCTTACACAAGTCGGTTACTGAGGTCCATAATCGCAGAGGCCTGTCCCTTCCCTGTGAGATCCTTTCTCGTTTCTTAGTGTTTTTTCTTTTTTTTCCCTTTTTTTTGTTGTCTCCGTCCTCCCTTTCCCACTTTCGCGAACTCGAAAGTGCTTGATAAAGCGCCATGGCGTCTGCCAAATGATCTAAATACACCTCCGTGAGCTGAATCCATCTTTACTCTTGCGTTTTAGCGTCGCTATACAGCGATGAGTTCATTTGTAGATTCCCTGGCCTATTACGGTCTGCATCTCTTTTCTATGCACGGTCCCTCTGGACCAGACGTTAAGTTGAAGCACAAAGCCAACAGTCCGAAGCGTTTTCAAAAATTTTGATTCGCTTTTTTTTTACCAATATCCCATGTTCCACAAGATTTAACGATTTCGGTCGCGTCCATTTTCTAAAAAGTATAGCATGGCTCTCCAGTCAGCTTGAAGGCAGCGCGCGGGCACTGCCTTCAAGCTGAAAGTCATGTTATACTTCCTAGAAAAGGTTCTCGAGAATCAAAACACTTTTCAAATGCCTTGGCATCTGGTTGTGCAGCGATCTTGAATGTTTTAGGAGTCGTTACAAGCGGGATACCTACGGGTTGACTGAAAGAAATAGAGGAATACTGACCTTAGCATTTCATTCAGCGTAGTACAAAACTTTCCATTCAACGAGATTAATGAAACTAGGGTCAAAGGACAAATGCTTCTGTTTCGTTCCAAGCGTTGTGTTCCATGCACGTGATGAGTCAACCGAAAGCCATCGCTGCTACATCGCGATTGATGCATGGCTGACTTTACACTGAGCATACTTTGTTCTTTGTAACAAATTTATTGCTCGCGGTAACATTACAAGGTGTGAGATGAGAGAGGAAGCTTGGAAACGCAGGACGGAGAAGATTTATTCTTTACATATTCTTACCGAACATGTAAATATGAACACATTATTCACCAGGGAATGCGACAGCCTTGAAATGTGGAAAGGAAGATACATTCCGTCTACCGGATAAGTATGGCGTCGCTGTGCATTTCATTTAAACACGACATCCGATGGGTTTTTCGTGAGATACTTTATTGAGACTATTGCCATCCTGTATTGAGCTAGACAAAGACGATTACAATTGCCTTAAAACGAAGATGACCCAACAGAAGTGCAGCTGCAGCCAGCCGCCTTACTCACTTCTGGGATAAGAGCTGTAAGTATACCCATGGCTGGTGTAAGGCAGTTATGCGAACTGAGGAAAAGACGGAAGTAAGGGATAGTTCCTTTGGAAAGGAGCCCTCAGACGGATTATATGTATGGAAAATATGTAGAAAAAACTTTCAAGCAGTAGGTAAAGAATGTCCTGAATCTAATTGAAGCTTCTCCTATGACAAAAAAGGATTTTACACAACATTTCGAGAAAAAAGCAACCAAATTACTGCAAGGAGAGCAGCAACAGTGCTGGAAGGCTAAAGGGAATCAAAGCTATTTTTCGCATCCTCATGGAATCCTCATCCTAATACGAAGAGATGGAGTGGGAATCACTGGTGAACGTTTTATTTGGTGTCATAAATGACCGCCTAGTAGTATAACGGTCACCGCAGCTATGAGTTTGGGGTGTGGGGATAACCAAAAGCATCACATAAGGGGAATTTCTAAGCTCAAATGAGGGGAACAGAGCGAAACTCTTTGAGTGGAAATGCACTTGAACAATACCCTTCTGCAACCAACATCCCGCTTTTCAACGGCCTCTCCATTCGAATGATGAGGATGAAGTGATAAGAACAAAGAGACTCATTCGACCATGTCAAGTGATGTGCAAGTGCAGTTCAGCATTGGCTTTATGGAACGTTTCGGGCAGGTTTTTAGGGCTTCTCTTCGCTTATGTGTTAGTTACTACCTTGTCATCAGTACTTGAGCCGCACAAATCACGATTTTTGAACACAAATCGAGCCCTTAATATTATTACTCAGCCACAATCTAATCAGGAAGGCATGCTCTGAAATCGATGGACGTCGCGGGCAAAGTGTTTAGGGACCAACCCAATACAGGAAGTACCTGACCAAGCAAAGAAAAACTACAACGGAAAGCAATAAACGTTCAATGGAACGTAATGTGCACTGTGAGAGCGTTGTAAAATGATGGATTCACAGAAAGACAGTACAAAAACTTGCGCGTATAACATTACGACAAAGCGCAGCTTGCTAATCTTTGCCATGCGACTGTACTACACACGCTACGTTTTCGCATCTTCGTGACTACGGGGGTGTTCGAAGCTGTGGAAACGCTAACAGAGTCTGAATTGTTGGTAACAAAGATGTGCTTCTGAAGAGCACTCTAAACCCATAAAAGCTTCCGAAATTCTAATCATTTAAAGGCATAAAGCACGAAAAATTAGTACTCCGTCTTAAATGGTGGCAGGGGCGCTACATAGTGGGAGGAAAAGGCGAAAAAAAGAGGCGAAACGGTCAAAAATCTGTGAAAGAAAACCTTCGCTTCTATGACTCGAAAACCTATTTCGGACGAGTTTCCCGGCATCCTGCCAATAACCGCTGGTAGAGACGGCTGGCACGTCCATACTAATATATCCATGCAGCACTGCAGTCACTTCATATCGATCTTTCCGCTTCAAATTTACTTCGCTAATGAAGCAGTACGACCACTAGCTACGGTCAGACTTCACTGGCGGGCGAGAGCGGGCGGTTTCGGTTCTTGTTGCAGCCTGATAGGGGTATAAGAGTACCCCCTAGGAAGAACCGCGACTTTGAAAGGAAATAAATGGTCACAATTACAGATTACATAGTGATCGATGGCAGAGAACTGTTTAACATAAATAAAAATTCGCACCAAGCTTCTCATTGACGAAGGATCTAAATTATTTCAAAAAAAAAAGATTCTAGAAAGAGGCGGGTGCAACATAGGCAACGAAGTAATTTGTATAATAGAGGTAGTAGGCGGCGGCTTGCATGAAAACCTTGTGTGGTACAAAAGGCAGAAAGTTAACAGAATGAGAAACGTCATCAGAAAAAAAATGACTTACTTGTAAATAGGTCATTTTCATTTGTGCGGCCAATTTTTCTTTGTCCTCCCTACACGGGTAGAGGTTTCCGCCATTGGCCATCAGCCACTTAACATGCGAACGCTATTATAGCCACCGAGCAGTCAGCTTTACGACTGAACTCACCTTGTCAAGCATGGCAGATTGCTGTCGCATTCGTGCTTTCTCACTCGCGACCGCTGACGCGACCGTGATCTCACCAATCGATAATTCGAGACCGGGTGATTGTGAGTGAAGCATATTTGCCATATTGTCATTTTCATGAGAGCTGAGCGGTGATGCGGACATCTAGACGGGAAAAATTCAACACCTATTCGAAAGTCCTAGTAGACAGTAGGGAAAGAAAAGGAAAATACTGTGAATGAAAGAAAATAAGGAACACCACAACAGCACCTAGGCAAAGGAGTCTTAGGGAAAATACCTTGTTCATGATTTCAAAATTGATGCCGAGCGGGTCCCCAGGCGTCGAGTGAGGACTCGTTGAACACGTAGACACCATCGATAACTTCCCTGACTTTTCGAGGACTACACTACCTGAAAGTGAATGTTCAGGCGTCGGCATTCGAGCAGCAGTTGTGTTGGAGGGATTGCGTCATCGAGCAGTTTCGAAATCAACTAAAGCGAAACGATCAATAGTGTTCGAAATGACAATTTCCTTGTGCTGATGTGTGTGTGTCTGTTTAGACTGGCAGTTCATACGTCATTCGAATTGGGACAAAGAAACGATGAAAGATCGTATGACCAGCAGAGGGATGACATTCCCCATCAACGCGGGGGAAACTGATACAGCCTATTGAATGTGTAAACATAATAACGTCTTCAAAGTTATGATAACACTAGTGATGCCATTCTGGAAGAAAACAAGACGCTAACGCAGTTTTTTTTTTGGGGGGGGGTGCACTCGACAGCGCCTTCGTATGGGGCACGTCCAACGTGGGGAAATCCCCAGCGGGAGATCGTATTTCGTCTTAGAACACTTTTTTTGATAGTTAGTTTTCCCCTCTTTCATGGGAACTATTCACACCGATGAGAACAAGTCAATGAGGAGGGGGTGGGATCCCATCTGCTCGTTGCTGTAGAGGGGGTCATATTTGCCTTCAAAAGGAATGCTTCTCTGCGAAAATTTTTTCGGTTGATCCGCACTTTTTCGCTTCGCTGATGCTATAACACTCCCCGCTTGACCGCAAAATTTTGGGAAGAACCGACAAAATTCCTATAAAGTTCGGAAAGTGTGGCAGAAGGCTGGGAAAAATTGGAGGATAGGAAGGAGGGACAGTAGTATTTCCCGAAAATTTTCCTCGGCGGCAGGACGTCCTCTACTCCATATGCCTTCCTTGAATAAAAGCGTGGGACGGACCTATCTTCCGACAGCTCTGGTCGTCTGCGCTGTAAGCCTAAGCTTATTGGGGAAGCGGGAGGTAGGTCAAGTGGTTCCCTCGCCCTTGCGCCAGAAACTATTGTAGTTTCTGCTATGGAAGGGGCCAGACGTCTGCAGTTTCGATAAATGGTTCACCTATTGCGGGGCTCCCTCAGCTGCCGTGCAGCATAGGAGAACCTCTGGTGGTTCCACTGAACACATCGGGAGTCGATTTCCAGGGTCCTGAAGTAAAGACTTGCACTCTACAAAAAACAGTGATCGCAACGACCTTGACTGCTACTTGAACCTGTAGAAACTCTCGAAAACGTTGTGACAGCCGGAAAGGCGGAGGTAAACAAAAAAGACAAAAATAAATGAAGGAATACGTCCGAGCAATGAAAAACAATGTTGGAGGAACTGTACAGACAGACCTCGTTCATACTTCGCGATCCGACCACTCGAATCGTGCGACTCCAGCAGCCGGATCGCGAGGTATAAATGAGGCCTTACTTTCTTGCAAGGGCCAAAAAGAAGGAAGAACAAAATCGAAGAATGGTCCGTTTCAGGAAAAATCCAAAAGGAATTTTATGGTAGACTTTCATCTTTACCGTCAGTTTGATGTGCGGTACAATTAAGAACCAGATGAAGAGAGCAGATGAACAGAACATTAGCAAAAAAACAAATGTGCGGTAACTGTCACTTAAAAATGTTATATAACACAAAGCTGAAGTTTTGCTATGCCGCGCACGCGAACTCCCATCCCCACCCCCGACAACCCCACCCACATGACTTACTTAGGAAAAAAAGCTCATTGCCAACCGGAACTTCTATAAAGCAAAACTTATTCCGGGACGCTTTCAATAGAAAAAGTGAATAGAATTCGTTCGGAGCGTCTGCAGAAACGGTAGTAGTGAAAAAAGCGTTTTTTTCATTCCGTTTCATAATACCGGTTATCTGCTACATTTTGCAAAACCACGTATCCTTCTCGTGACTGTAAGGGCAAAATTTTCAATAACACCGCACTACGAAACAATAGAGAGCTTAAATGAAGAATTCCCGAACTACTACGAGGAAAATTTATTGCACGAACGTGGGAATCCATTTAAACGACTGCAGCGAAAAAAAGAACCTGGTATGAGAAAAGATTGGGAATTCATAATTCAGATCAGGAGTTTCGCAACGTCAAACTTCTCTTCACATGCTCATTAGTGAGTACACTTTCGAGAAGAGCTGTTTGACAGGGAAACAGTGGACACTTTACTACCACTTAAATTGGAGCACGAACATTCAGTGAAAGACTTTTCACCCATGACCGGTGCTTTCAAGTTGACAATCTGCTTCCCCAGCGAAAGTAACTCGAGGATGCACGCTGTGGGCGGAGGGTAAGGCAGCGTCCACACCTCGCGACGGCAGCGCTTCGGTCGCGCGTTCGATGCAGTCGAAAGCATGCGCATCGATCGCGTCGAACGCGCGACGAAGCGCTGCCGTCGCGAAGTCTGAACCGTTGCCTAACTGCGCCACGATACGCTCTGCCAAGCCTTTCTGGTCAAGTCTTTTCACAGCCGTGAGGGAGCACCACTTCAAAATACGCCACTTTCTACCTAGCGGAAGGGTGCAGACAAGCAGACACGGACGAGGCTCCTTAACTCAGAAAGATAGGCATGGCATCTGAACATGGAACGGAAAAAATTACTCGTGAAATATTTTAGTTTGAAACAACTGTCATGTTGTAGTGTGCTGAAAAGGGACACGACCAACTTTTCAAAATGAAAATATCTCTCCAAAAGCACAGTCACCGCAGCGCTTATTTGGTGCGCAACCACACCTACCACATTTTGGGGATTTTGAGTCTACGTTAGCGTCGGATTTTGCTCAGAACACAGCTCGTATTGAATCGGCAGCTTTAGTAGTTTAAAACAGAAACATAAGTGATTAATGATCACGTAATTTGCATCCAGCACTCTGAAAAAAAGACCCCCATGGGCGCAGTGCCACATCCGCCGGCTACCAACGAGGACAAAAAGCGAACTAAAATGGCAGAGGCTAAGAAACAGCTGTGCAGAGCTGGCGACGGCAGGGCAGGCGAATGGCAAACGGAGGAGCCATTGTGACGGCGCCGCCGTCAACTCGTTGAGTTGTCGGCGCTCGAAATAGCCCAACGTGCCGAGAGACGGCCGACACCGGACGACTAAGAGTGCAATTGCAGACAGCGGCCGCCAGACATTGCAGCGATCATTTCGAAGAGTCGTTTTCCGAGATGAAAGCCGTACGAGGGCAATTCCCTCGACAAGGCCAGTCATTTGTGGTAGGGATCAGTTTCCGCTGGGGATTGAGGGTGGTAGAACGTATAGAACCATTGTGGCACGACAAATAGCAACGGTATTACGTCAGTTCAGCTGCGTGCAACAAAACAATAACAATCATACAGATATCGCCACGGTTTGATGAGAGAATGTGCACTTTTACGCGTCGGGCAAGTAGAAACCGTGCAAGTCTCCCGTCCGCCACGTACGTACCATGGAAATAGTATTTGATTACCTTTTCACGCATGTTAAGCCACGCGATCGATAGTTTTCGAAATTCCTCGCACTGGAGTGCGTGGGGGTGCAGCGCGACTGTCGTAACTGCTTGGCGTACACAACTTCCAGGGCCCAGACTGTCCACACAAGAGATCTTAAAAGCCAAATCAAAACGGAAACCCTCAAATGAGTCACTAAAGGATGACTGACGCTTTTGAACGCGGTCAGTTTTGGTTGTTGGCTCACTTATCAGGTGCCCAAGCCACCAGTTCCGCTGAAAACTCCTATACAGAAGTTATTTAACATCCTGATTCTGAATATTACGTAAAAGAGTGCATTGATCATCCGCGCTCTGCTAAAGCGGAGTCTGGAGTGAAGGGAACACTCCTACTAGCCTTAGCGTTGAAGGCTGAATAAGAGTAGACGGGTTGTACGTAACGACGGTCACAACCTTCAGAAATACCGCCAGCAGCTAAAACTAGTGCGTCCAGACAGCATCAGTCCTAAAGAATGGCGTGATCTGCAACGGCAGATCACAGACTACGGACGACACACCTGATACGAAAAATCCAAGGATACGATCTAGGTCGTGCATTGGCATTTAAATGACTGTGGCATAGAAGATTTAAATGAGTAATGAGCGCAAAATTGGGATTATTGTAACCCGAGAATCAAAAAAGATTGTACAGCCACGCCAGCACGCCATCCATCAAAGATCTCTTTAAATGCCCAGCCTAACCGGAATAATGATAAAGCACCTATTATCGTAAAAGTCAGTATACAACTACTGGAGAAGAGAGAGATCGAAAGAAAAGCAAGGAGGAAGACAAAAGGACTCGTGGTTGACAGGTATCCTGAGGCGCGATCTGTATCGGCAGAGCACAGACTACGGTCGATGCACCTGAATATACGAGACGACCTCATAGAAGCAAGAGATCTAGGTGATCCACTGTTCTAACAAAGTGAGCATTTAATTGACTAAGTGTGCAAGATTGGGATTACTGTGATCCGAGAACTCACTTTTGCACAGATACGTCTGTACACCGACCCGAGAGCTCCTTAAAGACAGCTCCCGCGATGAAAGTGTCATGGATAGTTGCTTTTCAATTATGAAACAGTAGCTGATAAGTAATTTCGAGAACACGTAAACAAAATCGCTCCCTCACAGTCACACCTCCCTGCGGTCTCTGTGCAACCCCTGGCTCACAAATCCCTTTATCACATCTCCCAGTAGTGGATATCATCCATGCAAAGAAAAGAATACAAAAACACAGAAGAAAAACTCTTGAAAAGGAAAAGAAACTTTAAAAACTCGGCGTCCGAATTTAGGGTTACGGTAGCGTGCATCTTTTAGTGTAGAGTAGTGCGTCGAGCTTTTGCACCACGAAAATCGGGTCGCTCGTGATTTTACGCCTTTTACCTTGCGAGATGGGTTTGAGTTGACTGTATGTGCTCCCAATTAATAAAATGTAATGAAGGAGAGCAGAATTATTCATGGGCACGAGCGCGGTCAGCAAAAAGGGCATGCAATTCCGATTAATGCCCGCCGCCCCAACAAAGAACAACTGAGCGGCCTCCGTCGGAGGGCATCTAGCAAGTGAGGCGGTCCAACTGAGCGGGCGTTAGAACTAGAACTTTCAGCGGCTGTAGCTCGCTCCTCGCTCGCTGTGGAGTCGAATAGAGTGGGACAGTCTCTAGCTTGGGGGCTGTACTACTTGCACAAGGAAGGACGACCATGTACTACTTGAGCGCGGGGGCTGTCTTTAACGCTCTTCGTCCATCGAGGACCCTTTAAATGCCCCTTGCTGAAACTGCTAAAACACCTATCGGCGTAGGTGCTAACGTATTTGGGGGGGGGGGCACGCGGCTCGCGGCGAGTGATGACTCATCGACTCTTCTGCTTCCTCCTCGGCAAAATAGAAGTAACCTCATGTTTAAGACATGGATATAACACCGTCCTAGCTATATTTGAAAGCTTAAGCAGTTAACGCTGAAAAGTGCGAAGAAACAGTTGTAGGATGGAAGATTTTGCCTAAACTACCAACGATTGTTGCCTTTTTGATGTTGACCGTTATTCTTGACTACAAAAGATCAAACATTTGTTGTTCTCAGCTTCTGTGGGATTTCTCAGCAAGTATTCGGTGAATCTTGTTTGTTTTATTCTAATTTTGCTGCTAGATTAGCGCTCTAAGTATGTCAATGAGTGAAGAGCCGATGAGTCATCACTCGCCGCGAGCCGCGTGCCCCCCCCCCCAAATACGTTAGCACCTCGGCGTAATCCGTAATCGCAATCAAAACGATGGCTCACTGAGGTTTTTGTGGACAACAAAGAAGTTCAAGAGGAGCAGTCAGCACTCAAACATTGGCCAGAGATTCGAAATGTCACTTGGACGAGATCCAAGTATGGACCGGTATGGGAGATGAGAATTGGCAGAGTGCCCACACAGGCTGACGCGTAGTGTATGTACACGATGGGGAATGTGCGGTGTGTGTGGGGCTCCCGGCCGTTGATGCCACGAATGACGGGGAGTGCGACGGCGCCGCCACGTCGACACATTGCGAAACGCCATGACTAATCGCCCCAACCATTCGGCCTCTCGATGGGTTTGTGGCGTTCTCGACGGATCCCTTGAGTAATGGGAACCAGTATATGAGAGCCCTTTGTATGTTCTGCACTCACCTTGGATACGAATTACTTGCATGAGTTTCAGGATTTCTTAAGAAATCCGCACTAAAATTCCTTCCCTGTAACGGTATTCCCTACCAAAAACCCGATAACGGAGTTTTATTCATAAAGCAGTCTTGTCAAGGCTACCCCATTTTGACAACAATTCGCGCACATATTCTAGGGAAAATGAGGCTGTCTCTACAACATACCTTGGCATTTTGGTGCAATAATTCGCAAGACTGCAGTAATCCCAAACTCGCACAAGTTTCTTCAAGCCGCAGGCAGCTTAGTTTCCCAGCTATCTTTTCTCCTAGTGGTAAAGGCTTTTAGGGCACTGATGACTGCAAGTCAGGAGATGCAGGAACTCTCTCCGCATTTTCACACAGCTAGCTTTCCCAGACCTTCTGTCGTGAATGAAAAAAAATAATTGAGCCGTAGACGCCTTGGATGCCTTGGTACGCCCCCTCCCCTTAAGTTGGAACACCTCTAAAACAAGCACTCACTTGTTGCACTGAAATCATTTTAAGAGCTCGTAATCTGATAAATTCAGCGGATTTACGACTTGAAGTGATTTGCTCGTATTTGTGAGTTTATGAGTATAAACGAGAAAACAGAAAAAGATTGGCAGAATTTCCGATAGGACATTCGCTTGTTTGCGAGACAATCAATACTGATCGTGATTGTTATCAGGGGTGCTGTGAATCAGCCAGCTGGCCAGCTCTGGATTCGGCACCATGGGAAAGGCCGAAATAAGCAGGAAGCCAGCCTAGTCCCGATAGAAAATTATGCCCGCTAAGGTCCCGATAACGGCCGTTATTTGAATTAAAGGTTACTCTTTCATTACTAGTACGCGATGCGATGTTTTTGTTTACCATGGGAACTCATCCGCCGTAATCGTAGTTTGGCGCGTCGTCCTGCACGGCGTGCAGAGGTGCGCGGCAAATTCTCAATGAGCGACGATTTATCGCTGGAGGCAGCAAACTTATGCGAATTCAAATGGGCGTAAGATTCCATGACGGGCGATATTGAATTTCATGGTCCCTTTAGAACTCGACTTCGAACGAAAACGAAACAACTCGTCTATCGGGCTCGCCAGCCCACAGGCGCGACATATAAACGATTGTCTTGTCACATACTCGGCACCATTCCAACATAGAGGGATATTTCGGTAGAAAGAGTGAAGGTTTGTCGGCTTACTGTAGTCCGAAGCTTGCACAAGGTGCTCAGCATCAGAGTGCTCTGCACCTCAAACCCTTCGTACTGTTTCGGAACGCTGTTTTTCCTTGATGATTTTTATATGTGGCGATAAAAAGAGTCGCAAAATTTCCACGCCGGCAAACACGTGACGGGTGATGACGCTGCTCCGAGAGCGAACGCATCGCAGGACAACTGACCAAAAATCAAAGCCCCGGAATTTGGTGAGAAGAAGAGCTCTTCTCGTCGAAGTAGCCCACGTTTCTTCTGCTTATTGTCATCAGAAGGGAACAAAAAACTCCAGGAATGACGACATCCGCAAATTACCTATTGGTTACCTACACGTTGAGTTTGGGATGGGTATCAATTTGCTAAATTTCTTGATTTCAAATTATTCTTTGTTCGTGAGCATTGGACATTTGTTGATATGGCTGGAAAAACCTCACAGGCTGACGAACGGAAACGTCATCGTCTTGGCGGTCGACCGAGATTTTCGCGCAACGCACCTGTTTCCAACTGGTGATTTGTAAGAGAAGCTGATGGTCACGGGGAAAAACAAATGTCACGAGACCACTAATAATCTGCCAAGCAACACCACACAAGTGAACATACAAAAGCTATGAATCATCATGCAAATAGTCCTGAATCATTATGCATAGCACATCGTTTTGAACACTCTGGTAACGTTGAAGCGTTCATACATTGTGGAGAATCCGGGGAAGAGACGACAAAAGATTAGGTGGTAGCTGGTTCACTCCGCTCACTAGTGCTTTTGAGGAGTCCGCGATCAGAGAGTGGGCAGGGTCGGTGGACTACCACTGGATTCTTTGCGATTCTCGAAATCACTAAATTTCCAGATCGATGGCAGAGGAACGAGGTTACATGGCTTTCGGGACAAGATTACATGGTTTAACGGGATTGGTCCCCCCTGCGCTATGTCGTTTCTGACGTCAACCTACGTGGACCGCAGATTCTTCGAAGTGGTGGATCCTCCTTACTGATCGCGCTCGCCTACACCCAAAACCCCTGAGGTGCGGTAGGCGTGGCTGCGTACATGAATTGAAATTAATGGCAGCCAAGATTTTTCGAAAGAGACGTTTCCATTCTAGGACCGTTGCAATCATGTTTTGTCTATAACAGAACAAGATGGCAGCTGTCTCATTGACAGACTGAAATATCTTATTTGTAACCCATCCTACGCCATGTTCAAATGCCATGCCTACTCCGTCTCAGGGATTAGGAGTGTAAGTCCCCAGAGCGGCACGTAGCACACGGGAAACCGTTCCCGTGACGCCATCACTCTTGCCAGGAACTACTGCAAAAAGAGGAGAATGGAGTCATTCACATTGGGCAACACTGAACATAAGCCCACAAAAGACCGTTATCGGGTTGACAACAACCTATTCATTTTATTGGCAAGGCAGTGACGATGTCGCATAGTCAGGAAGTGGTCTGTTCAGCGGGGAAGAGCGATAAAAGGGTGGTGTAATTAGCCCACCTATATCAGCGCACATGCTGGGACGAATCGCGTGATGCGGTCATACGCGTAACCACAGCTCCGATTGCCAACATGGTCGAGAAACAGCGTCATTTTCGAGGAGGTTAGCCTTCAGCCATGTGAAAAGGTCGTTTGCGCTCGAGATGGCTGCCACCCCCGAGAATCGAGCGGCAGCAACGGGCTTGCTGCCAACGAGCGGCTAGAGGACACTTGCACTTTTGCCCGCGTCAGCATACATACG